GCATCTGTAACCTTATGTCAGTTCATATTAAACATTCAGTACTTGGTTGGTCCTCTTTGTACTCTAACAACCCCTGCAAGGCAACGTGGTATGCTGTTGATGAGGTTTTTGAAGTAATCTACCATGATTTCATTCCCATTCCAATTTGTCACTAGAAAGCGCTGCAACTCAGTTATAGTAGTTCCAGCCTCATGAATAGCTGCCCATATATATACTGCACCACCTCTTGTGTGTTCCCTGTGAGAAAGACAGTTTCCTCTCATCTGTTTCCAGGCAAATGATGAATACGAATCCTACCATCATCTTTAAGAAGCCGGAAACAGAACTCATTTGAAAAGATCACATGTCACCATTGTCATAACTGTAAGTTGGCATGCTGTCTTGCCCAATTAACGTAATAAATTCTTTTTAATGGCGGTTTGCAGCTATCCCTTCTTGCAAAATAACCTTGTTTGGTCAGTCTCCGATTCACTGTTTTTCTGGATACCCTGGAATGAATATATTCCTGCCATTTCTGTTATAAAGTGTTGCAAGACTTTATTCAACTTTGATATGTTAACCTGATCAAAACAGTAGACGTTTCTGGAACAAAATTTCCTGTATTCCGTTGATGTTTCAGGATTCTAAACACAGTACTCTGGGGGTATCCTATTTTTCTGGCAATGTCATACCATTTTTGGAAAAGAAAAACAGTTTGATTATTTATAACTTCTGGCTCGTGACTCTACATCAAGTACATAGAAATTCTTTAAACAAAGCATTGATCTGTTTCGAAAAAAGTTATACAAAATAGCTATGTTTGTGTGTTTTGAAGAATAAATTATCAAAATAACTTATACAGACCAGAATAACAACTTGTTTATGTTTGTCTAATCATATGCTACCTTTTCTGTTACTACTCGGGCATTTAATTAATAACTACTCCATGCATGTAGACAATAACATCAACACAGAACACTTTGCAAACATTTTTACCAATACTGTAGAATGGTCCTTCCCACGAAATTCAACATATCGTGACACAAAGAACCAGTCATGCCAAAAGTACACCTCATCACTGAATCATTAAAGGTGTGTCCACTGTGGTATATTAGCAATCATTCATTTTCTACCTACTTGTATTAATAAAGGAATTTGTTTTTTAAAATTATTATTTGCAGTATGTGCACCTCCATATAACACAATTGTCAAAAAAGGTCGTTAAGATACTTTTGCTCTTGCTATGTATTGTTCTGTATCATTCATCCAGAGTAACAACTTTTGTCTTGCTGTAGTAAAGATAGCTACTACGTACCTTGCAGAATATGAAGATAGACAATTATATTTTCTACTGGCAACCAGGTGATCTCCTGATATTAGGGCTTCTCTTATGTTTCATTGGAAATTATAAGTTACAGGGTTAATGCTAGCCAATCAGGATAAGTTTAATGGTAAGGAGTTAAGTAAGTTTGTTTGTTTGTTTT